TTGCCGCCGAGGCGGCTAGCGGGATCATCTGTGCTCCCGCATCGGACCGCATGTTGATCACATCCGTGGTAAGGATCATGGTGAAAACCATCGCTGACATAAAGGGATGCCGGTGTGAAGCCACCGCGGTGGCTCATCTTTCCCTGCCCGAAGACTGGCCAAAGGCTGGTTAGGAAACTCGCCGCTCTACTTGTCCTGTGATGTGCTGTGTAACAAACGCAGCGCTTGACTATTTTACCTTCCTGTATAAAGGTATTTCCACGGTGCAGACCGCTGGATTTCTTTTCGTGTGCGGCGTTTCACTTCCCTTGCCCCGATTTATAGATATCCTTACCCGTTGGTTTTAACTACAATATTCTTCGCCGCACTTCGGGCAGCATCGTCACATTCTCCGCTGGCGTCCGCTGTTGGTGCCTGTCTCCATGGTTGCCTTATTACTACGTCCAACCATAATGGTCACGTGCACGTATCCGAAAAGGCGGTCGCTGGGAGCGCTTTCCCATTGCCCTGGCTCATTAGTTTTCCTAGTCACGCTCTTATTGTCTTGTATGGAGATACCGATTACTTATTTCCGCATCCGCTTTCTTGAGAAAGATCGTTACCCCCTTCACTCGCCAGTTTCTTCTCCCGCTCGCCCGGAAGCTTTTTTCTTTTTTCTTTGTCCATCCCCCCGCTGGTAGAGTCCCATCCGTAAATGCTTGGCGCGGGCCCGTGCGGTTGGCTTCGGAACCGGCGGAAAAAGTAACCGGCCGGGTGTGTTATAGCCAACAGATTCTTTTGGAATTCGGATGGATCGACGAAGGCCGGGGTTGGGGTGTAGACGACACCAGGGGCCCCGGCAGCGGCTACAGCCAAATCTGAGCAGCGTGATAAGATAGCCGAAATCCCCAGCACAGGAGACCCACGATGGAATTCCAGTTTGGTAACGAGGATGCCGCGTTCCAGAGGGACTTGCGCCAGTTCATCGCTGACGAGCACGTTCCCGAGTGGGAAATGGGTGAACGGGGTTCAGGCGAGGAGAACTGGGACCGAACCCTGGATGTGCGCCGTAAGCTGGCCGAACGAGGTTGGCTCACGATGCACTGGCCGGAGGAATACGGGGGTCAGGCCGCATCGCCGGTACGCACTGCCATATTCAACGAGGCCATGACCTACCACCGGGCCCCTGGCCGCGACAACTTTGGTGTCCGGATGATGGGCGCCACCCTGATGATTCACGGCACTGACGAGCAGAAAGCCCAACACCTGCCTCCCGTGGCCAAGGGAGAGGTGCAATGGTGCCAGGGATACAGCGAGCCGGAATCGGGTTCTGATCTGGCGTCGCTGAGCACCCGGGCCATCCGGGACGGCGACGACTTCGTCATCAACGGCAGCACGGGAAAATCTGGACGTCAATGGGGCATCGGGGCGACTGGATCATGCTGCTTACCCGCACCGACACCGACGCGCCCAAGCATCGGGGCATCAGCTTCTTCCTGGTTGACATGAAAACACCCGGAATTGAAGTGCGGCCGATCATCAACATGGGCGGACGACACGAATTCAACCAGGTGATTTTCGACAACGTTCGAGTGCCGGCGCAAAACATCGTGGGTGAGGAAAACCGGGGTTGGTACGTGGCGGTTACACTGCTGGACTTTGAGCGTTCCGGCATCGATTACTCGGCTGCCGCCCGGCGCCATCTGGACGACACACGGCAGTGGGCCGATGGGATTCAACGCAACGGCAAACCACTCAGCCAGGAATCATGGGTTCGCAACCTGCTGGCCGACCGCGTACATCGAGACTGAGGTGGCGCGTCTCATCGCGTACAACGTGGCGTGGATGCAGGGCGAGGGTCTGGTCCCCAACAAAGAGGCGTCGATGTCCAAGGTGTTCGGTAGCGAAACCGTGCAACGCACCACCGCCGCGTGCCTGGAAATCATGGGGATGTACGGGGGCCTGCGCGATACAAAGTGGACGCCCATGGAAGCCGATATGCAGGAGCACTGGCTGCGGGCCTTCTCACACACCATCGCCGCTGGCACCAGCGAAGTGCAACGGAACATCATCGCGAGCCGCGGCCTGGGCCTGCCGCGGGGGTAGAAGGCGGAGCGGGAGGATCAGTTATATCGTTGATGTGCTGTGTCGAGCCAGTCCGTGAACAGATTGGCAATCGCCCTCACATGGCAGGTCTTTACCGATTGATTGGCATGAAAAACGATCGTCCACATTTATTCGGACGGCGAAGCAGCCGACGTAGAGTTTATTTCTCTTGATGGTTCCACTGCGGCAGCCGCCACCGGACTGCTTTCAAAATTGCGAGCCGTCACGAATCAGGACCTGACCCTTGCTCGTACTGCGCAATTCGCAGTGTGAAAATCCTCAGCATAGGAGTGGCGAGATGCCCAGCGAAACAGTGCTCTACGAACTTACCGACCACGGCGTCGCCATCCTGACGTTGAACAACCCGGAACGGCGCAACGCGCTGTCATCCGAAACGTTGGCAGCGCTTGAACGGCTGTTGGCACAGTTGGCGAATGATTCGGACGTACGGGTGGTAGTCATCCGTTCGCATGGGCCAGTGTTCAGCTCCGGACACGACCTCAACGAGCTGGTCAACGGAGACGCTGAAGATTACGCTACCGTTTTCGCCGCCTGCACCCGGGTAATGGAAGCGATTCGGTTGCTGCCTAAACCCGTCATAGCACAGGTTCAGGGATTGGCGACCGCCGCCGGCTGCCAGCTGGTGGCCACCTGTGACATCGCCGTGGCTGCTGATACCGCGGCATTCGCGACCCCAGGCGTACAAATTGGGCTGTTCTGCACCACTCCTGGCGTGGCGGTGGCCCGGTCGGTAATGCCAAAGAAAGCAATGGAGATGCTGCTCACCGGGCGTGCCATATCGGCGCAAGAGGCGCTGGAATTTGGCCTGATAAGCCGCATCGCGCCGCCCGGCGATTTGGAAGAGGAGGTTATGACCCTGGCAATGCAGATTTCCTCAACCAGCGCGCACACGCTGGCGTTGGGCAAGGCCGCCTTCTACCAGCAAATCGAGATGGATCGTCCTGCGGCCTACCAGTTCGCCGGCCAGGTGATGGTCGACAATCTGCTGGCTGATGATGCCAAAGAGGGTATCTCGGCGTTCCTCGAAAAGCGTCCACCGGTTTGGACGACGTGAACAAGGACAGAGACCAGTATGTCTGAAGCGCTGGAACTGGGACAAATTTTTCCGCAACGGCTTGCTGGAAATGAGTGTTTGCCATCGGGCACCACGGTGCTTGATTTCTGGCAGTGGATGGGTTCGGACTTGGTGAGCAATGCGTTGCGGGGCACGTTTGCAGAGTATCTGGTCTCCTTGGCGGTTGGCGTAGCGGATGGAGTGCAGGAAGAATGGGCTGATTATGATGTAAGGACACCAGACGGCATCAAAATTGAAGTCAAGACGTCCGGTTATATCCAGACTTGGCATCAAACCAAACCATCTGATCCGCGGTTTGACATCGCCCCAAAGTACGCATGGGACCCGGCAACTAACGAGTTCTCCTACAACAAAAGACGGTCGGCAGATGTGTACGTGTTTTGCCTGCACCATCACTTGGACCAGCCCACCATCAATCCACTGGATATGACTCAATGGATGTTCTACATACTGCCCACCGTCGCCCTTGAGCGCGAAGCTGTGGAACAGAAAAGCATTTCCTTAAACCGGCTGCGACAGATGGGCGCTGTAGAAGTCCGGTTCGACGGGATGGCTGACGCCGTCCGAAACGCACTTGCCTAGATGCAGAACTTGATAGTGAATACCTCTGGAGGCTGTAATGGCGCTGCAAGAGTTCATTAAGGGATCCTTTGACAGCAACTGGGAATGGATGGAGCGCTACGTTGACGGTCTGACCCAGGCTGAGATCGAGTACCGGCCCAACGACCAGTGCCATTCCATCGGGTTCATCCTGTGGCATTACGGGCGGGCGCTGGACATGTGGGTGCAGTCGCTGGCTCGTCGGGGCACCCAACTTTATGAAACGGAGTGGGCAGCCCGCCTGGGGTTCTCCCCCGAGCCAATGGACGTGGGATTCGGCTATACTGCGGAAGATCTGAGTAACTGGCGCTGTCCCGGCAAGGCGCTGCTCATCGAGTACGCCAACGCGGCCCGCACCAATTTGCTGGGGTTCCTGGAAGAACACGACGACGCGTCGTTGATTACCACCACCATGACCAACCGGAGGGGCGAAACCATCGCGGTGGCCGATATGTTCCGGTTGTTGATTTGGGAAGTCAACCAACACGGCGGTCAGGCTGGGTACCTGAGAGGGATGCAGCGAGGACTGGGACAATAACAGCATCTGATCTTTCCCTTACAAACGGGGAAAGGCCGGGTGACCAATGGGGTCGCAACACAAGGAGTTACCATCATGGCTGACCGCACAATGCAATATCGTTACAACCCCCTGCATCAGGACATCATCTGCTCCGATACGGCGATCGACGCGCTGCCGGCCACGGTGGACGCTTTGGGAGCGAGCCGGGCGTTGATCACGTGCGGCCCAACCATCTTGCGAGCCTGCAACGTAGTCCCTCGGGTACAAGAAGCCCTGGGCTCGCGTTACGTGGGTACCTATTCGGGGGTTGCGCCACACTCTCCGGTGCAAACCGTGGAAGAGGGCGTGGCAATGGCGAAGGAAGTGCAGCCCGATGTCTTCATCAGCGTGGGCGGGGGCAGCACCCATGACACCACCAAGGCAATCGCCACTCTGCTGGCCGAGGGCGGAGACATCCGCGACTATGCCGTCATCTTCGAACCGCCGGACAAAATAATAGTGCCGCCCACGCCGTCGCCCAAGCTCCCCATCCTCAGCGTGCCCACCACCATGGGGTGCGCCGAGTTCAGTCGCGGTGGCGGCGGTATCACTGACCACGAGCAGGGCCGCAAACTGAGCATCGCCGGCGACGGCGTAACCCACCGCACCGTCATCATCGACGGGCAGGCCCTGGCCACCACTCCGTTGCGCATACTGGTTTCTACGGCGATTGGGCAACTGCGCATTGCCATCGAAACCGTGTATTCCACTGGCCGCAACCCTATCGGGGACGGTATGGCGCTGCATGCCATCCGCCTGCTGTTCGAGAACCTTCCCCGTTGCAAGGATGGAGACATCGACACCCTGCTCACCACCAAGACCGCCTGCGCCATGGCTTCACTGGCATCCTTCGGCGGCCTGGGCCTGAATACCGCAACCTGCCATCACGTGGGTGGGCTGTACGACGTGCCGCACGGCGAGGCCAATGCGATACTGTTGCCTCATACGATGCGCTACAACCTGGATGCCTGCGCCGACCGTCAGCGCCTGATCGCTGAGGCGATCGGTGTGGCCAGCAGCAGCATGTCCGATGAGGACGCGGGCCTGGCGGCGGCGGATGCCGTGGACGGGCTGTGCCGAGACCTGGAACTGCCGCGCACACTCCGCGAGGTTGGTGTCCCTGAGGATGGCCTGGAGTACATCGCCACAGCCACCCTCCAGGACCGCAGCCTGAGCACCAACCCGAAACCCATCCTGGATGCTGGTCCCATCATGGAAGTGCTGCGGGCCGCCTACTGAACCGCCCTACCGCGCAGGTCGATTCAGTCGGCCGCCAAGTATTTGACGTTGGCTGCCTCTGCCCGCAAGGTGTCTCTGGGATCGATTCGATTACCGGCAACGACGGCAATAGTCTCGATACCGAACACGGTTGCCAGCGCGTCAGCTGAATCTCGTGCTCGTTGTATGTCGTGAGCGTCGATGGTCATCGACGCTTCCACGGCCACCAGAACCGGGGCGTGATTGTCGGATATGTGCGCACGCATGATAAAGTCGGTACGCTCAACTCTGACGTATTGCTCCCGATTGATCCGACCTTCACGATAGGCGTCATAGACCTGATCGGCGAACTCGCTGATTGGTTCCAGCAACTGGCTTTGCATAATGCGCGGTCGTATTAGATCCAGCCTCTGGCTGACGACTGACCTGAGATTCCGATGCAGTCGGTTCTCCAGATCGCTGCCTTTCAGGTAGCCCACGTCGGTCTTCAGTACCGCCACATCGGTCTTCAGTACCGCCACATCGGTCTTCAGTACCGCCACATCGGTCTTCAGTACCGCCACATCGGTCTTCAGTACCGCCACGATCGTCTTCAGTACGGCCACATCTTCAGTACCGCCACGTCCGTCTTCAGTACCGCCACATCGGCTTTCAACTCTGCGATGTCTTTCTCAATACGCTCGAGGCGGGCGGGCATTCCCAAAAACTCGTTGGTCAGCAGGGCACGCAACAACAGCCGCTGAGCGTCCGGGTTGGCTTGCAACTCGGCAATGATGCGAGCGACTAACGATTCTGGGTCGATTTGCGGTTCAGTGGCCACCCTTATAGTTTACCATCTGCCAGAGTTCAACCTGGACGACTGGTGTCACAAATTCTCGATCGTTACTGGTTCTATTGCGTCGGTCAGCTCGAAGTCGAACACGCGCGAGTAAAAATACAGCTCAGCCTCCAGCGCCCGTTTGATGTTCTGAGCGCGACGGAATCCGTGCTGTTCGCCCGCAAAGGGCAGATAGGCGCAGGGTATCCCCTTCTCCCGGACGGCGTCGAACATCATCTCGGCCTGGTTGGGCGGCACGATGCGGTCTTCCAGACCCTGCAGCAGGATGATCGGGCAGGACAACCCCTCCACATGGCGGATGGGCGAACGCTGCCGGTACGTCTCCGCTCCCTCCGGATACGGCGCAACCAGCCGGTCCAGGTAGCGCGACTCAAACTTGTGCGTATCCGACGCGAGCGCTTCCAGGTCGGAGATGCCATAGTAGCTGGCGCCGGCGGCGAACACGTTGCGGAACGTCAGACGCGGCCAGCGTCGTGTAACCGCCGGCGCTGCCGCCGCGAATCGCCAGGCGGTCGCCGTCGGCCAGACCCTGATGCACCAGGTGGAGCGCGGCGTTGGCGCAGTCGTCCACAGTCCACCACGCCCCAGTTGCCGTTGAGCAGCTGACGGTAGACCCGCCCGTAACCCACGCTCCCGCCGTAATTGCACGTCCATGACGGCGAACCCACGCGTTGTCCAGAACTGGATGGACATATCCAGCACTCCCGACGCCGCGCCCGTCGGCCCGCCGTGACTCGACACCAGGAGGGGTGGTTTCTCGCCGTCGGGCGGCACAAACTCGGGATTGCGGGGCGCGTAATACAGCGCGTAAGCCGGCCGGCCGTCATTGGATGGAAACTCGATGCTCTGCGCCGGGGATATGTAGCCCGCATCCACCGCAGTTGACGAGGACTGCCGCAGGGTGTCCCAGTAGCCGTCGCTCAGGTTCACCCTTATGACAGACAGGTGCCGGTCGGCCGCGCCGGCAATCACGATGGCCGTCCGGCCTGATACCGCCAGTCGCCGCGGCCGGCTTCTGTAGCCGGCAAGTCCAAAGCCGTCATTGTGCCGACAGATGGGTTCAGCAAGTTCAGCGACCATACACCACGCCGGTTCACCGAGCAGACCACGTTGCCGTTGCCAGCAAATCCGTAGGTGCGGGTGCGAACATCCATTGAGGCCGGGCATATTCAGCGTCATCCGGATACAGGGCTTCGTGCTCGCCATCCTGGTAGCGGTACAGGTTCCACCAACCCGTCTGATCGGCCACGTAGTGACAGCACGCCGTCGGGCGACCATTCGGGCTGAAACACCGAGACACTCTCGCCGCCAGCCATCAGCGTCGCATCGCCCAGCGAACCGTCCGCCAGCACCGACGCCGTCCAGAGATGCGTACCGTCCCAGGGCATGTTGGGATGATTCCAGGACAGCCAGGCCAGCGTACTCCCGTCCGGACTCAACCGGGGTGTTGAGACAAAATCCCAGCCCGACGCCAGAACCGTCTGTTCGCCCATTGCCGCCAGCCGGTACGGCGGCGATGGTGTTGACGATGTTGTCGGGGTCGGTGTGGTCCTCCCGGACACAGATGAGGCGGTTGCGGGCCGCTGTCCAGTACGGCGTCGGCGTAGCGCAGCGGGCCATAGGGCGTGACGGCCACGGGCCCGCTGCCAGGATCCACCCGGTAGATGCGCTGGTCATCGAAGTTCGAGAACCAGATCACGCCGCCGCTGGCCAGCCACGCTCCGCCGCCGTACTCGTGGACCCGCGGTGCGCGCGTTGAAGGGCGGCGGGTTTCACTTCAGTAACGTGCCCATCGGGCGTCATTCGCACGACGACGTAGCGCCCGCCTTCGGAGAGGCGCGATTCCGTCCAGAGCGCAGCATCTCCATCGATGGCACTTGACCCCAACCCCACCGCCTCGGCCACGATGGCATCGGCGGTGATGGGCGAGCGCCAGGAACCATAGGGTGCAGTGGTGGGGGTGGTGGTGGTCATGGTGGCATCTCCCATTAGCGGGCTATCGACCTTGTCGTTGCAAACGCGTCCTCAATTTGCGTCGTGCGAGCGCCGGCTCTTTGAGCTGGGTGTAATTCATGGTGTGCCGTGAAAACCGGCACAATGAAAGATGACGGCCCAGTGGGAACCAAGTGGCCGCTTTATGAATGGTTTGATTCCCAGTAGGCGCCACGGCTCCGACCCGGGACTCAGGAAGCGCGGCCGGCGGCGTAGGGCCTTGAAACATTCCCCAGGATCACCCGATGCCGCGGCCCATCAACAGGACGAAGCAAGCGGCGCCACCAACCACAACAACGGTAAGCGCAATGTAGATTAACAGCAGGTTGATTGACATCTCTGGCTACCCTCATCGGTGGTGTTTCGGGGTGTCCCGTGATTGAGTCCAGGTTAGATGAATTTGGCGAGTGGGATACGCGGCCAGAACGAATTCCCATCAGAACTACCTCGTCCTCACGCCACGGCCGGCATCACTTCGCTGGCAATGATTTCCATGGCGGGAAATACCTCCGCCGGGTCGCCGGAGTAGGGTGACACTACGATGCGGGATACTCCCACGTCGGCGAAGCCTGGGCATTGGCGCGCATCTCGTCCGGCGTGGTGCCAAGGGTGAAACGGCCCGGCCTCCCGCCTTGCAACGGCACGCTGACCGACACCGGAATGGTGGCCGGGTCCCGGTCGGCGCGCTCGGCCTGCTCGTGGAGGTAGCGAATGCCTTGGGCCAGGTCTTCCGGGGGCATGGCGGTTGGATGCCATCCGTCTCCGTGGCGTGCGGCCCGGCGGATGGCGGCCCGGCTGGTGCCTCCAATTAGCAGCGGAACCCCCGTGGGACGCACCGTCCGGGGAGAAAGCACCATGTCAGAGAACTGGAAGAACCGACCGGAATGCTGGGGGTTGTCCTCGCACCACAGCTTTTTCATTATCTCGATGGATTCGTCGGAGTACGCGCCACGCTCCGCAAACGGTACACCCATTGCCTCCAGCTCGGTGTCGATCACGCCGACTCCGACACCCAGCACCAACCGGCCGTTGGACAGTTGATCCACTGTTGACGCCTGTTTGGCCAGGCGCATCGGGTTGTGGTAGGGCAGAACCAGAACACTGGTGCCCAACGTGACGCGCTCGGTTCGGGCGGCGGCAAAGGCGAGAATCGTCATCGGATCGTAGTAGGGTCGCTCGCCGATGCGTTCGTACACATAACTCACGTTGAAAACATGGTCACTGGCCCACACCGAATCGTAGCCCAATTCTTCAGCGCGTACGGCGGTTTGCACCACGTCCTGCACGTTGGTCAAACCCTGGTTGTTGGATAACGAAAAACCGATGTTCATAGTTCATCTCCCGTGATGATGTTCACCCTCAGCTGCTGGCCTTCCCTCACCCCAACCCTCTCCCATCAAGGGAGAGGGAGATTCTGATCTGTCATTGCTGCGTTGCCTCGCAATGACACTGCCTGAACTAATTAATCCGTAAAGAAGTTGCGTGGGTTGTCCACCATAATGGCGTCCACGTCGGCCTGGGTTGCGCCCAACTCCAGCAGGCGAGGCAGTACGTTGCGCGTGATGAACAGGTAGCCGTCGGGATTGAACGCCTCCCGCTCGCGCCGCAGTTCCTCGGACGGTTGAACCACCGGGGTGGAATGGTCGTGGGAGAGCATCAACCGGTGAGCCCAACCCGCGTCGATGAGCTGTTTGACGACCTCGGTGCGCGATTCCCAACGGGGGGTCTCCGGAGTGCGGCCACCGGGATAACGATCCAGACCCAGCCAAACACCCTCATCGAGCAAACCTGTCAGGTAGCCGACGTCGGTGTCGTCGTTGCTGTGGCCAATGTATACCAGGTTCAGGTCTACGCCTTCCTCTTTGAGGATGCGCACCTGCTGCTCACCCACGCGGTCGGGGGACCAGGTGTGGGTGCTGATGCGAGCGCCGGTGGCGTTGCAGGCCCGGGCAGCGGCGCGCAACACTATTTCCTCGTTTTCGGTAACGCCGCCACGGTCGCTGGCGACTTTGATGATGCCGGCCTTCACGCCGGTGTCTTCGATGCCCTGCTCGATTTCCTTGATGAACAGGGCGGCGACACTGTCAACGGGAGCGCCCCAAAAGATGCGGGGTACGGCCAGATGGTTACCGGTGCATCCGATGACATGGACACCCGACCGGCGGCTGACGTCCTGCATCACGGCAACATCGCGCCCCAGGTCCAGGGTTGTAACGTCGATGATGGTTCGGACGCCGCCCGCGTAGGCTTCGGTAAGTGCAGCGGTGGCGGCGTCGGCGATGGCCTGCAGATCCTGGAAACCGGGATAGGTGGCCGCGGCGCCAGCGGCTCCCAGCGTTATGTGCTCGTGGCTCAGGGTGAACCCAAGATCGGCGGAATCCACCGGGCCCAGCACCGTGTTGACTGCTGACATTTTGATCCCTCCCGTGGCGCCCGCACCGTCGCGGCGAGCGAAGAGTGGCAATCTGGATAAGACAACGGCCAGATTGCCACATTGCTACGTAACAATCAATGCGGCCGTTGAGTTAGGCGGGGGTTGAACAGGCGGGTGGTAGCGCACGGCGGCGGCGGAGCACGCGCCCCACGCCGTCAGGTCAGGGGAGGGTCTCCCAGCGTTTCCATCGCCGCAACGACGTAGGCGCCGGCGGAGGCGGGCATCAGCCGGTCGTCATCGTCCCTCAAGCGTCCTTCGGCATCAACGCTGACGTTGCTCCACTTGGGCAGCAGGGGAGATAGCAGTTTGGCGATGTTATCGGCGCACAAACCACCGGCGACGACCAGGCCCAACCCGGGCGCTGCCAATGCGATGGCATCCAGATGGCGGGCAGACACGACGGCGTCCAGCGGCCGGCCGAGTCCTTCCGAGGCATCTACCAGCACGTCGGTTACGATGCCGGAATACCCGGCGCACCGCCTTGCGACCTCCGACGGCTCGTGATTCACCGACGCCATCGCCTCCCGGCCCACCTGGAGGACGACGCGATTGGGGCTGCAACGTCTTCGGTACTCAACCAGTGCCTCGGGGTCGGGCCAGGGCACGCCACGGGTCGCGTTGATTTGAACTCCGTGGCAATTCTCGCCGCCGACTTCATTGGCGTGGGCGAGCACGTTGGCCAAGTTTTCTCCGACCCGTGGCCGATAGTGAACCAGGTTAAGACAACGGAGGTCGTTGGAAAATATGCCGCCGATGAAATCGGGCGCCGGGCAGCGCTCCGGCGCTCCGCTGGGTCGGCCCGACAACAGCGCGTTGCTGAGAAGCACGCCGCACATCAGCAACCGTGAAGGGTTCGGCGGCAGTCCCTCCAGTACCGTTGCGACCTCGTTGGCGTTGGCGAATCCGGTAACGCCGATATAGGGAGTCATCAACCGGTGGTGAGTCCCAGGGACTCGGCTGCCATCTGACGCAGCAGGTATTTTTGCACTTTGCCGCTGGACGTCATCGGGTAGTCGTCCACCACGACCAGATGCCGGGGTATCTTGAAGGTTGCCATCTTGCCGCGGCAATAGCTGTCCAGATCCGATTCGGTGATGGCCTGACCCGGCTCGACAACCACGCAGGCACAGGCGACTTCGCTGAGCCGGGGATCGGGTACACCCACCACCTGCACCTTGTTGACGGCGGGATGGGCGAGCAGGAATGCTTCAACCTCGGTGGGGTCGACGTTCTCGCCGCCCACCTTGAGCAGGTCCTTGTACCGACCCATGAAGCGTACGCTGTTGTCGTCGCGGATGGTTGCCACGTCGCCGGTGTGGAACCAGCCATCATCGTCGATTGCCTCAGCGGTGGCCTCGGGACGCTTGTAGTACCCCTGCATCATGGCATAGCCACGGACGCATAACTCTCCCATAGCGCTGGGCGGCAGAGTTTCGCCGGTGTCGGGATCGATTACCTTGAACTCATAGCCGGGAAGTGGGTGGCCGCTTTCCGTGCACCGGTCGTCGATGGGCGCGTCCAGGTAGGAGCGCGTTGCGCCCACGCCCACTTCGGTCATGCCCCAGGCCGACAGCGTGGGACAGAGCTTCTCCTGAGCCAGGCGGGCGGTGGGCTCACTGCTGGCCATGCCGGCAGCAAACAGAATCGTTCGCAAACTACTCTTGTCCACGCGGTCGATGTCGGGATGGTTGACGAGGTCAAAAAAGTGGGAGTCGAAGCCGTTCATGACCGTGGCCCGCTCGGATTCCAGCAGGCGCAGGGTCTCGCCGGCGTCGAACAGGGTGGTCAGTATCATTCGAGCGCCGGTGATCCACGACATCAACGGCCCCTCGTAGATACCGAAACAGTGGAAGAGGGGCAGATACATCAGAATGGTATCGCGGGGCGAAAAACCCATGCGGTTGGCGGCGTCCACGACGGTGCGGATTGGGTTGTGGCAGTGCATGACCCCCTTGGGGAACCCAGTGGTGCCGCTGGTATACATCAGAAGGAACGTATCGTCGGGGCTGACGGCGGCTTCCCGATGGGTCAGTTCCTCGACGGGTACCTCATCGGCGCCGGCCAGCATCGCATCCCAACCGATTGCGCCGGCGGGACGGCTGTCACCCAGCATTATCACGTTGCGCAACGCGGGGAATGCGGCGGGTTGGAGGTTGGCCGGATCTCCGTCGGCTATCTCCGGCACGACCTCGCCCAGCATCGCCGAGAAATCAACGGGCCCGGAGCGATCCATGAGTATCAGGACGGCAGAATCAGAATGGTTGACCAGGTATTCCATGTCGGTGGTGCGGAAGCGGGTATTAATGGGCACCAGCACGGCGCCGATCTTTGCCACCGCGCCGAACAGGAACAGCCATTCCGCCCGGTTGGGTATCCACAGGGATACTTTGTCGCCGGGCTGAACGCCCAGGCCGATCAGCGCGCGAGCGACGCGGTCAATCTCGTCTCGAAACTCATCAAACGTCCAGCGCTGACCCTCATAAACCAGCGCCTCTCGCGAGCCGAAACGCTCAGCAGCCTGATTGATAAGTTCACCTATGGTCTGCTTGTCAAACCACTCGGCCATGGGATTCTCTCCTCCTTGGGTCAGGTAAACGACAACGGCAAATTCGCAATGAGAATATGGCGGTCAATTGGGTCATCATGGCACAACCGGGTTGCGACCTCGCGGCTGCTTAGAACACCTGGCTCAAGTCAATCCTCAGGCCGGGAAACAGCGGCGAAGTCAAAACGTCCGAAGTCCCGTAGGACCCATCGACGACGAATTGGCCGCCTACTAAAGTGCGGCGTTCGAGAGTCCCGTTAGTAGGGTGGGTTGTCCAGTATTCGAGGACGCCGAATCGGGCATACAGCTCCAGCTTGACGGTCAGGTCTCGTTCCTCGGTGGACGGGGAGGCTATCTCGACCACCAGGTCCGGCGCTCCGTGTATGTTGGGCTCGGTAATGATCTCGGCTCGGCCCGCCGAAACGAATAGCAAATCGGGCTGCACAACGTTCGTATCGGACAGGTAGACATCAGTCGGGGCAACGAATACCTCGCCCAGGGCATTGTCCCTGACGAATGACGCCAACGATACGGCCAAATTAAGCAGAACTCTCTGATGAGGTGTGGTGGGCGCCGGAGCCAAAATCAAGTCCCCATCTATCAGTTCGTAGCGGACATCATCCGGAGTATTCAGATAATCCTGGTACGTGAATTTGACACCGGGTTTGCGGGTAACCACAACCTGCGCTCCTCTTCGTGCGATACCTTATCTCCCTGGGCTGCATGTTACATCTTCTGCCCACTCATGCAATCAATTTGCCGCAACCGGGGCCAGCGCCTTCAGCTCGGGCATCACTTCGGCGGCGAACAGGCGCATATTGGCTTCGGCCTCCGCGTAGGGCATGGCAGCGTAGCTGAAAGCTCCCACGTAGGTGTCGTGTCCGGTGCGCGCCTGGATGTGGCGGATTTTTTCGTAGCACTGCTCCGGCGTTCCCCACACCTGCAGGTTGACGAAAAAGTCCACAACCTCGTCATCTCCGTAGTCGAACATCTTCTCGGCCACTTTGCCGTAGTATTCGTAGCCCTTGATGTCCTTGTGGTGATCCTGCTTGAACTCGTAGTGGTCCATCACGGTGTTCCAGTAACCGCCGATGTAGCGTCGCGCCATCTCGCGCGCGTAGTCCTCATCCTGATGGCAAAAAGTCCAGCAGGCGACCACCGGAGCCGGCGGATCTCCGACGTTGCTTTCGCGATAGGCGGTGCGGTAGTTGGACAGATCGCGCTCGACCTCGTCCCACGGCTTTTGCGGGATCACCAGCATACCCACGCCTAGTTGCGCCATGATGCGGCTGCTCTCCGGCGAGATGGCGGCGGCGAAGGTGCGACCGTGGAAGGTTCGGAACGGATTCGGCCGTATCTCGCGACGCGGCTGCTTGATGTATTCGCCGTCAAACTCGCAATACCCGGTTTCCAGGCCGCTGAGGATGCACTCGGCGGATTCGATGAACCGGGTGCGGGACTCATTCATATCGACGCGAAAACCGTCGTATTCAACCTTGGCCAGACCGCGCCCCACGCCGAATATCATCCGGCCGTCGCTCAGGTTGTCCAGCATGCAAACCTGTTCGGCGACACGGACCGGGTCGTGCCACGGCAGTACGCACACCATGCTGCCCAGTTTCATGCTGGTGGTGCGCCCAGCCATGTAGGTGAGGAACTGCAGCACGTCGGGGCACATTGTGTAGTCGGTGAAGTGGTGCTCAACTCCCCAGATGGACTCGAAGCCCAGAGGTTCGGCCAGGTCGGCCAGCCGCAGCTCGTCCCGGTAGACCCGGTAGTCGCTGGTAAACTTGCCTGGATTCTGAAAAATCGTGGCGGTGCCTACGTGCATGTCGTCTCCATAACCTCCGGTTGTTCCTGAACGGACAAGTAACCCTGCCGCCGAAGCAAACGCCGTAACGTCAAAACACCCTACAGGGCTGCTCTCACCTTCTCCGGGGCGCAGGCCCGCATCACGGCCTGAGTGGAGCCGATTTGCGGACGGGCGGCGATTACGCGCACCAGCGCAACGTCCAGTCCCTCGGCCAGCGTTGCGAAGGCGGCGGCGGCCCCCTCCGGCTTACCGTAATAACCAACGGCCTGCAGGGCATCAGACGGATAGGCATCGACCACCTCGTCCATGTCGCCGCCCCGACTGCGGATGGCATCAGAGCCGGCCAGTTCTTCGGTGTAACCCATGCGCTCAAAGTGAGCGCGGTAGCCGAAGTCGCGTTCACGCTCGGTCGGGACGCTGGGGCCCAGGGGGTAGCCGAGGCAGTTCCTGGCGAAGGCGCGGCGGGCAACGTCTTCATCTTCGTCAACGCAGATCCGGATGTATTCCACGACCTTGACCTCGGAGGGGTCGCGCCCGATGCGTTCCGCACCCTCGGCGATGCGCGCACGACTCCAGGCGATTTGCTCGGGAGTGCACCAGTTCAGGCAGACGCCGTCGGCCAGCTCACCGGCCAACCTCAGCATCTCGGGGCCCAGGGTTCCGAGATATACCGGCGTGTTTGGCGGTGGATTGATGGCGATCCCGATGTCGCGATAGTTGATGTGGACACCCTGATAATTCACCGATTCGCCACGCACCAGGCCGCGAACGGTGGTCAGGTAGTCGCGCATCAGCCCGAGGGCCGACATGCGGGGGAATCCCAGGGCGCGCCGGTTGGCGGGACGATAGGCGCTGCCGGAGCCGATGCCCATGATGAACTTGCCGCCGGTTTGCTGGCTCATGGTGCCGCCCGACATGGCAAACCCGATGGGAGTGCGGTACATGACCGGTGAGACGCCGATGCCGGTGATAAGACCACCGGGAACCACTTCGGCGCTGGCCTGCCAGCGGCGGGCACAGACCTGGAAGGAATCGGTGCCGATGTTTTCCGGTGTCCAGATGCTCTCGTAACCGAGCTGAGCAGCCTCGCGGGCGAGATTGGCCTGGTCGTCCCAGTTCATGCCCAAGGTGTGGTCAAGTCCAACGCCAATTTCCATCTAAAAACCTCTCCAGCGATGCGCCGAGGCACTCAAAATCGTCAAACGGATTGTACCACCACCCGCCCCGACGGGCACGACGGGCGTCGGTCGTTTGGAGGAACGGAGTGGCCAGCATCTCCCCACGCCGCCGATGTTATAATCGGCGCCGGTTTCGCAGGAGAGGGTATTTGGCCACATTGATCGGCTCCCGCGCGACGGAAACCTTCCAGGCCTTCCGCCGCCGCGATTTCACCCTGGTTTGGGTATCCGCCAACATCGCGATGGTAGGGCGGCAGATGGAGGTTATCGCCGTTTCCTGGCTGGTGGTGCAGCTGACCGGCGGCAACGAGGTGCTGGTCAGCCTGGCCGGGGCTGCCGCGCTGGGACTGGCGTTTCTTTCGGTATTTGCCGGCGCGGTGGTCGACCGGCTGCCGCGGCGTCTTTTGATGGGAACGATGCAGTTCATCGCGGCGGGACTGGCTGTCCTGATGATGGTGTTGCTGCTGTCGGGCATCCTGAAGGTGTGGATGATCTTCGTGATCGTGATCGGCGGCGGCGCCTTTCGAACCTTCGAACTGCCGGTCTCGAACGCCCTGATCATCGACACGGTTCCCCGGGACAGACTGAACAACGCGGTGGCGCTGCTGGGTTTGGGACAGAACCTCACGCAGTTCGTGGGGCCGATTGTGGCAGGATTCCTTTACACGCCGCTGACCCCCGCGGGCCTGTACGCCTTGATAGCCACCCTGTATGCCCTGGGCGGAATTTGCGTGCTGATAGTCAGGACGCGGAACACCACCATCGGCCACACGACACCGAGGGAAATCCTGATTGGGGTCGCCGCTGGTTTGTCTCACGTGTGGGAGCGCAAGGAACTGTTGATGGCGCTGGTAATCGCAGCCATGTACAACGTAACCGGTTTCCCGTTTACGACCGCGTTGATGCCAATCATCACGGAAAAAGTCCTGAATGCCGGGCCGGAAGTTTTGGGCCTGCTCAACGGGTCGATGGGCGCGGGGGCTGTGATCGGCGCGCTGGTGGTTGCCAGCATCGGCAATTTCAGGCGTCAGGGATGGTGGATGGTTTGGGCGGTCAACAGCTGGCACGGCTCGATGATCCTGTTCGCCGTGGTGGTGATGACGCTGCCGGGACTGCTGCCCCTGAAACTGGTGATTGTGGCAGCAATGGCGGTAAAAGTGCTAACGGGCATTGCTCGCGCCTGTTCGCTGCTGCTGGTGATGACGGTTCTGATGGGCAGGTCTGACCCGGAATTTCGAGGACGCATGGGCGGGTTGAGAGTGTTGTCGATTCAGGCCCACTTCCCGGCCAGCGCCCTCAACGGCTGGATGGCGCGGGAGATCGGAGCGCCCATGACCGCACTGACGCTTGGGGTCGCCGGAATTGCCGCCGTGTTGCTGTGCCTCCTGTCCCGCCGCCTCCGCGAAGCCTGATGCCAGATGGTATCTTGCGCCGGGATTCGGCATAATGTGGCCGAACTGTGACGACGACGCGAACGGATAAGTTGCGCCAACACCGCCAGAACCGAGGAGACAACAATGACTACACCGACGATTCCAACCGAACAGGAAGTATTGGGCTGGTTCGATTCGCTGAGCAACTGGGGTCGCTGGGGCGACGATGATGAACTGGGCACGCTGAACCTCATTACCGACGCCAAACGGAAGCAGGCGGCCGGGTTGGTATCGGAGGGGATTACGGTAACCTGCTCCCGCCTGCTGGTGCCTGAAATCGCCCCCGACGTTACCAGCATCCCGCCGTTGCACTACATGGTCAACACCGGAGAGACTGCCCCGTCGGAAGGCGGCGGCGGCTCCAGCGATTTCCTGGGGGTGTCTTACCACGGATTGACGATTACGCACCTGGACAGCCTTTGCCATCAGTTCTGGAACGGCAAGATGTACAACGGCAAGGCAGCCAGCCTGGTCACCTCGGCGGAAAAAGCCACCGCGGGAGCCATCGACAACGCGAAGAATGGCGTCATCACTCGCGGCGTTTTGCTGGATATTGCCGCCGTCAAGGGCAAGGACTGGCTGGATGCCGGTGAGCCGGTATTTACCGCTGACCTGGAGGCTGCCGAGGAAGCGCAGGGCGTGCGCGTTACCGAGGGCGACGCGCTGTTGATCCGGCTCGGCTGGTACAAACGCCGGCAGGAGGTCGGGGCGCCGTCCGCCGCTGAAGGCCGGCCCGGTCTGCACGCCGAGACGCTGCCGTGGCTGCGCGAGCGCGGCGTATCCATTGGCGCATGTGACGCCTCCTGGGACGTTGCGCCCAGTGAGTACCCATACGTGGGGCTGCCCATCCACAAGGTTGGAATTGTTGGCATGGGGTTGTGGCTGATCGATGCCGCCAACTTCGACGAACTGGCGCCGATCTGCCGCCGACTGAATCGGTGGGAGTTCATGTTCACGGTAGCCCCCCTTCGCTGGCATAACGCCACCGGCTCCCCGGTGAACCCGTTGGCCACGTTCTGAGTAAACCGGATGCCCCTCGCCAAAACCCCTCTCCCCAGTGAGAGGGGCCGGCGAGTTACGCTGGTGGAATCCCTTTCCAGTCAAACGAGAAAACTGGCGTTAGGGTGATTCCCTCAACAATATGATCGACCCGACTGACAACACCTACCCCGGCCTGCTGGCGCCCTACCGGGTGCTGGACCTTACCGACAGCCGGGGTCTGCTCTGCGGCAAGATGCTGGCCGACATGGGCGCAGACGTGGTGCAGGTGGAGCCACCCTCCGGCAGCGACGGGCGACGCATCGGGCCGTTCTACAAGGACGAACCGGGCGTGGAGCGCAGTCTGTTCTGGTGGGCATCGTGCGCCAACAAACGCGGGGTGACACTGGATTGCTCCACTGCCGACGGTGGCGCCCTGTTGCGTCGTTTGATCGCCGATGCCGACTTCCTCATCGAGTCGTTTGACCCGGGGTTTATGGCCGCCAATGGACTCGCCTACGCTGATTTGCAGGCGATCAATCCCAGGCTGGTGATGGTGTCCATCACCGCCTTCGGGCAGGATGGGCCATACGCCGATTATGTCGCATCGGACATTGTGGGTATGGCGCTGGGTGGATTCATGCACCTGACCGGCGACGGCGACCGCCCTCCGCTGCGGGTGAGCATGCCCCAGTTTTACCAGCACGGGAGCGCTGCGGGGGCGGCCGGCGCCATGATCGCTCACACCCACCGCGCCCTCACCGGTGAGGGTCAACACGTGGATGTGTCCTGCCAGCAGGCGGTGGCCCGCACTCTGGCCCACGCTCCCCAGTATTGGGACCTGGAGGGCATCGTACTGAGACGCATGGGTGCGTACCGCGAGTCGGCGGGCGGCACCTTCACGCGCATCAACTGGCCCTGCAAGGATGGATTCGTCAATTTCCAGCCCGGTGGCGGCACGGCGGGATCAGCGCGGAGCGTGCGTTCGCTACTGGCGTGGATGGATGAGGAAGGCATGGGCAGCGCCGCCCTGGATGCGGTCAACTGGGAAGAGCTGGGCTACGGCACGGCTCGTGCCGAGATAATGGAGCAGACCGTGGATGCCGTGGCTCCTTTCTTTATGACGCACACCCGCAACGAGTTGGCCGACGGCGCACTGGAGCGACGCATCCTGCTGTTCCCGGTTGCTACCCCGGGAGACATTCTGGAGCACCGCCAACTGGAGGCCCGCGGATATTACGATCACATCGAACACCCGGATATTGGCGAGACGGTTACCTATCCTGGTCACTTCGTCAAAGACCTCACCGACCCGGCTCGTGTCGGCATACGCCGACCTCCACCCCGCGTCGGTGAGCACAACCGGGAAATCTATTGCGGGGAGCTGGGATTGCGGGATGCGGACCTCGCCCGCCTCACCGAGCTTGGAGCGATCTGAATGGTCACGTTGCCGCTGGAAGGACTGAAGGTGTTGGACTTCTGCTGGGTTGCCGTGGGTCCGATGACCACCAAATACCTGGCCGAGTACGGCGCCACCGTGCTGCGCGTGGAGTCGAACAAGCGCCCCGAAACACTGCGACGCGCCGGACCATTTGCCGGCGGTCAATCCGGTATCAACCGGTCTGGATATTTCGCGAATTACAACGCTAACAAGTATGGCCTGTCCATCGACATGGGTCACCCCAGGGCGCCGGAGCTGATCCTGCGGATTGCACGATGGGCCGACGTGATTACCGAGAACTTTACGCCGGGCACCCTGGAGCGCTGGGGGTTGAGTTACGAGCAGTTGAGCGAAGTGAACCCGGGGGTTGTGCTGTTCAGCGCGTCCATGCTGGGGCGCGGCGGCCCCATGCAGACGCAGCCCGGTTTCGGCGCCGTGCTGTCGTCCTTGGCCGGTTACACCAATATCATCGGCTGGCCCGACCGCGGCCCGGTGAATCCCTACGGTGCGTACACCGATTTTGTTTGCCCCAAGTTCGCCATCGCCGCGATTCTTGCCGCCGTAGACCGGCAGCGGCGCACCGGACAGGGCACGCACCTGGACATGTCTCAACTGGAGGCCAGCCTGCATTTTGGCGGTTCCATGCTGCTTGATCGCGGCGTGAACGGACGGGACCCGGAACTGGTGGGCAACCGTCATCCGGCTGCTTCGCCTCATGGGGCCTACCCCTGCATTCCGGATGACGGCGGGGAGACGGAACGCTGGATTGCCGTGGCCGTGTTCACCGATCAGCAATGGGCGGCGCTGCGCGATGAGATGACGGCCGACGGGTTCGCCGACGCAGCATCCGGCGAGTTTCGTACTTTTCGCGTTCGTAAGGCCCATGAGGACAAGCTGGAGGAGTTGGTGGCAAGGTGGACGTCCACGCAGGAACGACACGCCCTGATGCGCCGTTTGCAGGCGGCGGGCGTGCCCGCCGGTGTGGTGAATGACACCCACGACCTGTTCGACGACCCCCAACTGCAACACCGCAATCATTTCACGTGGCTGGACCACCCCGAGATGGGTTCTTACGCCACCGACTACAGCGAGATGGCATTGTCGGCTACCCCGGGTCGGCTCGATAGGGCGGCGCCGCTGCTGGGACAGGACACGGAGCACGGCCTGGTGCAGATCGTCGGACTGACCGCGGCCGAATACCGGTCTCTGGCCGATGATGGCGTGCTGGATTAACCGCCGACACATCCCCGGCCCGGCTCTGAGCCTCCATAAAACAACTGGACGACAGGGACAGGATGATCCTTCGACGGGTTCAGGATGAGCGGCCCGGTTTGGCCGGCCGGGATTGCCACGTCGCGGGGCTCCTCGCAATGATTGGGGTCCTTCGACAGGCTCAGGACGAACGGGGGCCGAGGGCAGCGAGATTGCCACGTCGCTACGTTCTTCGCAATGACAGTAGTGTGCGATCGTTCGGCGGGCGCATTATGAATTTCACTTGCGTGGCTTCGGCGCACTTCGGAACACAGAAAGCACGATTGAGTTGGATTTCGGACGGTCTCAAATCCTTTCGGACACTGGATTCCCGCCAGCGCGGGAAAGACGAGTGCAATAGAATCAAGATGCGATTGCTCTACGGGAAACATCCCCAGCGTTGACATCCGCCAGCGCGTGCGTCTACATTGGCTGAAAACCCAGGCTGAAAACCCAGGCTGAAAACCTACCCGTTGAAATTGCGTGCGAGGCTTATAAAGATGCTGAAGGACCGTATCCACGACGAGTTGCTATCCCCTGAGATTCTGCGGAATCCGTATCCGTACTACGCTTTGCTTCGCGAGGAAGCGCCGGTGTACTGGAATTCCAAATTCGATACGTGGGTGGTAACTTCCTACGAGGCAGTGGTGTGGACGCTGCGTCACCAGGAATATTTTTCTTCGGAGGTGTTCCTGCGCGACGACAATCCGCCCAGCCCGCCGATTTCCGAAGAAGATTTCTCCAAGTACAAATACAACCTGGACTACATGAACAACTGGTTCATCCGGCGGGACCGACCGGATCACCTGAGGATGCGCAAAACCGTGCATCCGGTGTTCAATCCCAAGTACATTGACAACCGCTTTCGCGCTATGGTGCAGGGCATCGTGCAGGATTTGCTCAAGGACTTCGATCCGGAGAGCGGGTCAATGGACGTTCTGAGGGATTTCGCCAACGCCATGCCGGTGCTGGTCATCGCCAGTTGGTTGGGGATGCCGGCCGATGATCGGGAGTTCATTCGCACACTTTCGCGGCAACTGTTGTCCGTCGATCAGGAAACACCAGACCGGCACACCCGCGTTCACCACGCGATTACCACCCTCAATGACTACGTGAATCCCCTGGTGGAACGCCGCGTGAGCGAGCCGTCGGACGACCTGCTTTCGGTGCTGGCCATCGGCGAGCGTGAGGGTGAGCTAACTCGCGAGGAAGTTTTGGGCAACACCCTTTTGCTGCTAATCGCCGGGCACCAGACGACGATTAACCTGGTGGGCAACGGCGCCATGGCGCTGATGCGCAATCCGGAGCAGTGGAACATGCTCAAAGAGGACGATACCCTGCTGGTGCGGGCCACCGAAGAGTTGTTGCGGTATGACTCTCCGGTAAAGCGCGCCCCGCGCATTGCGCTGGAGGACATAGAGCTGGCGGGGCAGAAGATTCGCGAGGGCGAAAAGGTGATGGCAATCATCAATGCAGCCAACCGGGACCCGATGGCGTTCGAGCACCCGGAGGATCTGGACATCACCCGCTACCCGAATCCCCATGTGGCCTTTGGCGGCGGCATCCACCATTGCCTGGGCGCCAACTTGGCCCGGCTGGAGGGTCAGGAGGCGTTTCGCGCCCTGACTCAAAAGTTCCCGCCGCTGCGTTTCGCCACCGATCCCAACGAGCTGGAGTACCAGGACCTGCTGAATATCCGCGGTGTGGTGAGCCTGCCCGCAGAGTGGTAACAGCCCAAACCGAGCGCAGGGCAATAAAGAAGGGGCGACACCAACGTCGCCCCTTGTTTGTTGCATGATCCACATTATTGCTTGACCGACATTGCGTGCCCAACGTGATTGGACAGCCGCCCGGGCTCGCAATTACGACTATGGCTCCATCATTCCGTATCCGACGTTTTTGACGGTGCGGAAGTAGGCAGTGCCGCTGGTTTCCAGTTTGTAGCGCAACCGGCGGATATGCACGTCAACGGTGCGGGTGCCGCCAATGTTCTCCACGCCCCAGACGTTGGCCAGCAATTGATCGCGGGTAAAGACGCGGCCCACGTTCACCATCAGGAACTGCAACAGTTGAAACTCCAGCCAGGCCAGATCCACTGCCCGGCCGTTGGAGGTGACTTGGTACGTGGAAGGATTTACGGTGATCGTACCCACACGGATCAAATCTGCTGCGTTGGCTCCGTTATATTTCTGAGCCAGACGCAGGATGCGTTTGATCAATTCGGTGGCGGCACAGGGCACGGTGACGAAATCGTCGGAATCCTGGTACAGGTCGGGAGCGTCAAGGTCTTCATCGGAGACGCACCGGAGAACGGGCGGCGCTTCGTCGTCGTGTCCGAGGTTCGCTTCGTCCACATCCGGGGCCAGCAGAACTACACTGGGGAAGTCGCCGTCGTAATCGCCGACGGCATCAACGTTGGGTTCGGGTCCCAGTAGCTCTATGTAGCCGGTGTCGGTAAGAGCGGCCAGGGTGCCGTTCATCAGTTCCCATCCGCGTCCCAACAGGAGAACGCGAGTAGGTGGAGGCGGTTGAGGATTTGGTGATCTGACCATGTGGGTTATCAATAGGGGCCTTTTATCCTGATCCTATATTGCCGTCAATGCGTTAACGGGGGATTACGAACCGGTTACGCTTTTGTTACAAACGTCGGGAAACTGACCAGGGCATTAGGTATCGGGCTGCCTGCCGGCATTGCTACCGCCGGCATTGCTACCTGCCGGCATTGCTACCTGCCGGCATTGCTACCTGCCGGCATTGCTACCTGCCGGCATTGCTACCTGCCGGCATGCACCGCCGGCATTGCTACCGGCCGGCGTGACGCGACCAGCGATATGATGACCAACGATATCACGACGCAATCAACTTGTTACAAATACTTAACGCCGCCGCAATATTCGTATGCGAAGTTGGACTTCCTCCGGCAAAGTCTGGACAAGGGATGAATGAATGATATGTTGACCGATTCTGTTTCGATAAACCACGCGCTTTGCGAATGCATCAATCCCGATGGATCCGTCAAATCGGTGTACCAGAAATTGATGGCAAGCCTGGAAAGCCTGGGTGTACCCGAATTGCAGAATCGGTGGCGGCGGGCCAAGGACAGTTCGGCCCTGGACGCGTTAACGTTTTTGCTGGACCCCAAGGAGTTTCGAACGGTTCCCACCGACTGGATTCCGCGGCTGATACCCGCCGAGGACTGGGATACGATATCGCGCGGCGTGGCGTAGCGACTCAAGGCCATCAACCGGTTTTTGATGGATCTGTATTGTGGCCAACAGAACATAGTTCCCGCGGACGTAATGTTCTCATGCCAGTACTACAATCCCGACCTGCAGGATTTCCGGCCGCCGCGCGACGTGTTCGTTCACGTTTACGGCATCGATCTGGTGCACATGGGAGAGGGACGGTACGTGATCCTGGAGGACAACCTGCGCATCCCATCCGGTATCACTTACCAGATGAAAACCACTGAGACGGCCCGGAGCGTGATGCCGGAATTGTCGGCCGGATATGACATTATTCCGTACGACATCAGGGCCGCATACCAGGAGATGTTCGTTTCCCTGTGCGACAAGGATTCGCCCAATTGTGTGCTGCTTACCGATAGCAAATACGGGGCTGCGTTCTTTGAGCACCGTTACCTGTCCGAGCTTTTCAGCATACCCCTGGTGGAAGGTTCTGACCTGTACATTGGCCCGGACGGACACGTTTGGGCGCGGGCGATGGGCGGCGACTTTCAGGTCGATCTGATCTACCGGCGGGTGGAAGACCTGGAGCTTTTCGTGCCGGGCCTGACCGAAGCCTATCTGAACCACAAAGTGGTGCTGGTGAACGCTTTGGGCACCGGCGCCTGTGATGATAAGCTGGTGTTCCTGTGGGTGCAGGACATGATCAAGGGGTATCTGGGTGAAACTCCGATCCTGGAGCAGGCGGTTAGCTACGACCTGCGATCTGCCGAAAACCGACAGTACGTCCTACAAAACCTGGAGAGGCTCGTTCTGAAAACGCGGCAGGGTTACGGCGGTTTGGGGGTGTTCATCATGCCCGATCTTGGCCTGATGTATCGCAACCGGCTGGCGCAGCAACTCATCGAACAGCCCCAGGTGTTTATTGCCCAGGAAACGCTGGACTTCTCGCGACACCTGGTGTTTGATGACGCCGTGGCAGAGTTGCAGGAGCGCTATATAGATCTGCGCGTCTTCGCCATTCAGAACGGAAATGGCGAGGTAACGGTGTTCCCGGGCGGCCTGACCAGGGTTTCTGATTCATCGGGCCGGATCACCAACAACTCTTCAGGTGGGGCATGCAAGCCGACTTGGGTAGTCCGGTAACCGGAGAATCAATCCCGGTGCATTACGCCTACGTCGCCCGCCATCAGTACACTGACGTAGTGGTGCGCAACGATAACTTTCTGCGGCTGTCCGCGTTTACCGACCGCTACCAAACTGCCGGGGCGTGTTATATCGGGAGCTCGCCCATTGGCAGTATGATCGGGTATCTAGACCGGCTGGGCAATCAGATCCACCGCATCCGTATCACCGAGCCGCACGAGCAGTTGATATTGACTGCCGTTGGGGAGGTGCATCTCAGCACCGACGCGCCGAGCGTCGCCGATATTCCCCTGAAGTCGGTGACCTACGGTCTGGAAGCCGATGAGTATCTGACGCCGTCGCCGCTGGTAAATCCCAGCAGCGTATTGACTGCCGCCACCATCGCCGGCAACCACGCTGATACCCTGCTGGATACCGTGGGCAACGTGAACGAATGGGTTTACCGGCAGGTGCGATACCAGAGGGGCGCAACGTCCGTATTCACCACGGCTGCCGATGTGCTGGAATCCTTGGTGGGCGTGTGTCAGGACAAGACTCACCTGGCGCTGGGCATGATGCGGGCGCTGGGGATTCCTGCTCGATATGTCAGCGGCCTGTTGACCCGTCAACCCGGTGAAACTCACGCCTGGCTGGAGTTTCTGCATCCCGATTGCGGCTGGTTGGCTGCCGATCCCACGCGCGGAGTTGTGATTGATACCGCCACCGACTACCTTAAGTTTGCGGTTGGGCGCGATTATTCGGAGGTTCCACCGGTTACCGGTTCATTCGTTTCCAGAGGCGATGGCCACCTGGATTTCGCCACGTCGGAGGTGTACTTCGACCGCGAAAGCATCTCGCTGGTGGATGCGTTCATGCTGATGGGATCTACTCTGTTATGACCAGGATTACGCTCGCGCCCATGCCTAAGCCCAGGACCAGGATTACGCTCAGGATGAGGAATATACGCAGATGGTAGAACCAAGGGCATTATCGTTTAATAACGACCGGTGGCTCACTGACTCCCGGGTCTACAACCTGATCTGACTGGGCCGGTGGCTGGAGAGGGCGGACAACATCACACGGGTGGTGAACACCTTTGCCGGCATGGCCGTTAATCAGGGTAGCGACATGGTTACCTTCCAGCGCTCTCTCAACAACGCGGCGGTAATACGGGGGATCATGGTTGACGGTTCGTATCAGGCGTTGACCATGCTGCTCAAAGACCACGGCACATCCTCGGTCTATCACAGCCTGGTGACGGCCCGCAGCAACGCCACACAGGTGGGCACGCTGGAATTGATTCGAGCGATTCACGACACCCTGCTAAAGCTGGAAGACTCCTCTACACCGCTCAATACTCCTCAGGATGCCCTGATGCTGACCACTGATCTGCTGGATGGTCTGGGCAGAATTTACCAGGTAATAGACGACAGCTGGTTCCATCAGGAAGCCCTCTCGGAAGAAGAGGTGTTCCATCGGTTCGTGCAGCAGTAGACGTGGGATAGTCTGACCCACTGGGACGGTGGTGGCCCTGCCGTCCGACGGCTCACACGTTCAATGTACCCGACGGAAAACGTAGGCTGCCGCTGACCTGGTGTATGCAATGCCTTTGCCGGTTCCCCGGATGGTCGCGGGGATAACGGGCGTACCAGACTTGGGTACAAAGAAGGCGCTCAAATCCATCCGGTCCCAGGAATGCCGTCCCGCTGCCCTGGAGACGGTGGCCACCAGCTCATAATCTGCGTCGAGCGATGCTAGGCTCGCGTCTCCGTGGCTGTCATTAACCAACAGGAGACCGCCGGCGGCGAGATAGCGTTTGCATACCTGAGACACCGGGCCAGCCCACTGTGAAACGAGAAGATCGTGGGTTTCATCTTCCAATGGCAGGGTCGCACCATAGTCAGCGGAATGGAACGTGATGTCAGGTTCACCGTCGTAGTGTTTCCTGTCCTGGACCATTTTTCGCATCGCCGGATCAGCGAAGAAACCTGGGCAGCGGCGATCGCTGTCGACGTAGGTGACAGAGGGGATTGCGAACGAGGGGGTGATGTGCACGAAGCTACCAGGATAGAGAGCTTGTTTGGATCCGAACTGATCCACCAGCATCTCGAACAGATCGGCACGTTCAAACCCGTTGGATGTGTAGTATTTTTCGTATAGACGAGAGTTTTTGTTCACTGTTCCTCTTTTCGCGGTGCCTGACTGGCTGCCGGTCGATCCTGATCAATTTCAATGGGAGTGTTCCGCGGATTGCCATCTGACGGATGACCGCCTGTCCCGAGGAAACTGGGGAAGGCCAGCATTTGCCGTGGGGTGCCGTGGGGTATGGTAGCGGCGGCGCCGTTTTGCGCTTACCCCGATCGTTCCCTTCTGCTGGCCCTCAAACCGATTCGCACGTTCCACCAGACGATTAGCGGCGTGATGACAATGGTGGGTAAATTCCAGGGCAGCCATACCGGGTCGAGGTCGACGTTTACCACTGCCACCGCGGTTACGGTGGCAATCGTGCCGGCCAGCATATTGGTGAGATGTCGTTGGATCCGCTGGGCACCACCTCGCATCCGACCCCTGGTCAGGCCGAAGTAATACGCGCCGTCAACGAGGCTGAGCGCCACCGCGATGGCTCCGAAAATGAGCATGGTGACCCATTGCCCGTCCCCGGCGCTTCCCAAAAGGACGCCGTAACCCCACATGGCCAGGCCGGTGATCCCCATGATACCGGCGGCACACCAGTCGAACAGCTGTGGAAGACCCCTGCGGTTGCGGGCAAACCGCCAGCCGGCAAAAACCAGATAGAAACTGAACACTGCGATGAACAGCAGGAATACGCTGGAACCGAGTATCGCCAGTGGCAGCGCCGTAAGAAATATCACCGTCATTGCCATGGCGTATATCCTGCCCGCCAATACGTGATAGCGTCCGCCCTTTGCGGTGATTACGGCTACAAAAGCAGTCAGCAGGGCCATTGACCCGGCGGCAATGTGTACGAGGAGCAAAATTGCGCCGACCATGAGGTCCACTTGCGTAGAGGGAAGCGGTCGCGGCGGTTGGGTAAATTTGGTGGAGGTGAGGGGATTCGAACCCCTGACCCCCTGCTTGCAAA